CCGCCCCCTCTCCCTCACCAATGCGATGAAGCCGTTGTCAAAGATAAAGTTCAGCCGAGAGTCCTCCAGACCCAAATACTCAGCCTGGCCATCAACACACACATCCACAGAAATGGATGGATGCGCGAGCGTGTCTGTTCTTGCGGTCAATCGATCGACCTGTCTGTCTGTCTGTCTGACACTCACTTGACGCACTTACTTCGATGCACAGGATGCCTTGGATGAGCCCGCTGCCCTCCGAGAAATCAACAAGGTTGGAGAACTTGTTGGCCTCCTTCAGGTCCAGCACCTGGTACGTCTGCCGCACCAACGACCGACACCAACCAGGGAGGGAAGCGACAACAATACAAACCATCCATCGAATGTCTGCCTGTCCGTCGTCCGTCCGTCCGTCCGTCTGTCTGTCTGTCCTCCCTCACATACGTTCTTTGGGTTATTCGTGGCGAGTGCCTGCAGCGGCGACGGGGCCTTCTCAAAGAAGTACCGCCGCCAGCTGTCCAGCGACGCAAACTGCACATCAGCACTCCCTGCAACACACAACCAACAGCATAAGCACAGCGCAATGCACCAGCTGTCCGTCTGTGCGCCTCACCAGGGGCGTAGGTGTAGAGCAGCTTCCACACGCCACAGAGGTCATCCAGCGCCGCGTCAGGCTCAAACACGTACCCCGCCACCAGCTGGTCCACCAGATCTTCTATCTCCCTCTGCTTGCCGCTCTCGTCGGCGGCATCGCCATCCCCTGCATCCTCACCGAGGAGCTCCATTAGGCGGGATTTCTCCCTGCTGTTCCTCCGCCGGTCCAACACCGGGGTCTTGGTTGCTTCGAGCCAGGGGAAGAGCGTCTGCGTCAGGTGAAGCGGCTGCAGCCGAGATCTGCCTCGCGAGCGCTGGGTCAGCTGCCCGATGGATGATGGGACGAAGGCATGATTGCTGCTTCTCGGTAGCGATTCTGCAGCGATGGCGAGTGCCAGGCAGCCGGACAAAAGCACAGAAAGCACCATTTTCCTCTCTCCTTGTCGCAGACGCAAGCTCGCGATCGCGGGTCGCGAAGACAAAGGGAGGAGGCAAAAGGGAGCTTGTAGGTGGTGTACTGTTGGGTCAGGGCCACAGCGTCAGATTTGGGAGCGGAGCGGCCGATTTGTTGCCAGCGTAGTTACTTTGGTCGGCCGAGAGCGTGTCATCAGGACGTTCGGCAGGCTGTCGTATGCCATAGAGGCGATTGAGTGGGTCAGGGAGCTCCACGGGACAACGGCAAGCCACGACAGCATCGCTTGGTGGAGGAACACATCAGCATGGGGTCGGTGGCGCGAGAACTGCTCAAGAGGCAACTCCTGGGTACGCAGCCACGCAGAACACCGCACAGATGGCACCAGAAGATCACACACGAGACCTTGCGTCATCTCACTTATGCTTTCCCTTCCTCTCTTGTGCGTGTGTGTCGTATGTGGCATCCCATCCCATCCATATATCAGAGTTGACGCGTGACGATTCTTCGGGTTTCTCTGTGGGTTTGGAGGATGACAGCAACTGGTTCAAGTGGAAGGTGTGCTTCGAGGGCCCGCCCGACACGCTGTATGAGGGTGGGATTTTCAACGCCACCCTCACCTTCCCCGAGGACTTCCCCAACAACCCCCCTGAAATGAAATTCGACTGCGAGATGTGGCACCCTAACAGTAACCAACACACACACACACACACACACACGACTGGACAGAGGGAGGGAGGGAGGGAGGGACTTAGTATTGCTCTCCTCTGTGTGTGTGTGTGTGTTCAGTCTACCCGGATGGCCGTGTGTGCATATCGATTTTGCATCCGCCCGGCACCGACGCCCTCAACCCCGACGAGAAACCCGAGGAACGGTGGAGGCCAATACTCGGTCAGTCGACAGACAGCACACACACCAAAACATGTAAAAATTGATCTCTCATCTGGGTCTGTGAGTGAGTGCAGGTGTTGAGTCAATTTTGGTGAGCGTCATATCGATGCTCGGCGAGCCCAACCTCAGCTCTCCGGCAAACATTGACGCCGCGGTGAGAGAGAGAGAGAAAGCACTCACATAACATAGAGACGGAGAGAGAAGGGCGCGTCACGTGTGTTGGTTCTGGTGTTGGTGTGTGTCTCGTTGTTCGTCAGGTGAACATGAAGCAGGACATGGCGGATTACAAGAGGAAGGTTAGGGCGCTCGTGCGCAAGTCGGTCGAGGGATGAGTGACGCTGTCACTCGCTCGGCCGCTCGCCGGGTGGCTGCATGCCATGCGCTGACTCTGCTGACTACCATATCGAATCCATCGTACCATTACATATCGACACCCAAAAGGGATCGCCTCGCTACGACGGGCGGCCCCCTTCTATGTTATGTATGGCTCTCTATCCGCCCGCCTTTCTCTACCCTGCACGTACACGTGTGTGTATGTGTGTGTGTATGTGTGTGTGTATGTGTGTGTGTGTGTGCGTCGGCTCTGACGGACGGTGCACGCGCACCCGCCTCCTATCTATCTATTGCTGAGTTGCTTGCCTGCCTGCCTGCCTGCTTGCTTGTGGTGTGTTGTGTGATGCCTGCACGCACACCACACCATGCCATGTCATGAGTGTGGTGTCTGTGTGTGTACGCGCCGCGCCATACGTGCATGAGAATTCAGAGGGGTGATTGAATTCTTGCGTGCTCACTCCACTCCACTCGCTGTGCTGTCACGCCAGCCCAGACCACCCCACCCCCCGCCCCGCCCACCGACCCGTTTCGTCCCAGCCTCTCTCTCTTTTTACTCACAAGTGAATGCGTGGACGAGGCTGGGTGGGTGCCCGACGTTTCTCTCTACACACCTCGTTTGTCTGTGTCCGCCTGACTGCCTGGATGCCGCCTTGTTTTGCTCGACTCATATCTGTCTGTCTGTCTGTCTGTGTGCCCGTCAGTATGAGCCTACATCATGATGTACGTGTCTCGTGTGCGCCTTTTGTGTCCCTCTCCTGCTTGATCGGCTGGCTGAGTTACAGGGCTGTGGGGCAGGCGAGGCGGTGGGGCAGGGACCATGTGCTGTGCGTGTGTCTGCGACGCGACGTGACATCCGTCGGTGGTGGGTGTTCGTACCTTGTGTTGTGTGAGTGAATGTTTTGTGCGTGGATGTATGTGTATGTGTGTGTGGGTATGTTTGCGACGTTGTACAGTATGAAAAAACGGCGCGCGCCATGCCACGTGGTTTGGTTTAGAGCTCTGAACACGTAAAACAATCCCCTGCCGTGACAACAAACAGCCATCCATTCTTTGCACTCTGACCTTTGAGCAGCATGCCACTTGCCCGCTGCCTCAGATCTCTGCCATCCGCCCTGCAGGTGGGCGCGCGGGGGATGATGCCGTCCATGGGCAGATCAGAGGCACTCATCGCGAGAAGGGCGGCGTACCGGTGCTTCTCCGTCGCCGGTGAGCACCCACGAACAAGACGAACGCAGCTCACTCATGAGCGCCTGATGAATGTGTGCAATTGTGTGCTGATCTTCCTCAGCCAACCTGACCAAGGCGCTGCGGCAGGAGATCCAGCACGAAAAGACGTCGTATGAGCAGCCCGACCTAATCAAGGTGAGCAGCGGCTGGGAACGGAACCGACTCCGCACGCACCAATTCTCCCGTGCGTGTGTGTATGCGTGGCCACTCAGAATTTCCTCAAGTCGTCTGAGTGGAAGTTCCAGGAGCCCGAGAGCAATGTCAACATGGTGCTGAGCAAGAAGGCCAACGGATACGACATCACTGTCGAGTTCCAACTCGCAAGGTAGCTCTGTGACAGTGTCACCATACACACCTAAGAGACCAGTCAGGCAATGGATAGATGGATGGATGGATGGACTTGCTTGTGTGTCGGTGCCGTCCGTCAGCCCGTATGCGCCCGACTGGGATGAGCTTCAGGCCTCCCAGCCGTCCCAGGAGGGTGGGAAGGAGGGGCAGCAGGGCGAGAGCGAGCCGCCCATGGCCGCTGCCGTGACTGACTTCACTATCACAATAGAGAAGGGCGGCAAGGGCGAGGGCATGACATTCTACTGCAGCACCTACGCCGGCAAGCAGGACTACAGGGTGAGTCGTCGTCGAGAGAGAGGCTGGCTGGTCGATCTGCCTCGGCGTTTCCCGTGGTATGTTGTGTGTGGTATGGTGTCAGTTTCTGATCGGCAACATTCGTTTTTTCTCCAACGAGGAAGAGAAGATGAGCCCGACCTCTTACAACGGGCCGTCATTCGACGACCTCGATGACGTACGCTGGCAACAACACCCGAACACACACTTTTGCTCTGTCATGGATACCTGCACGTCACTGGGTGGTCTGTTCTGTGCACCGGTTTGTCATCCATCCATCCATCCATCAGCGTCTGCAAGAGGCGTTCGACCAGTGGTTGGCGTCCCTCGGCATCTCTGAGGAGGTCTGCGACTTCATCGATGCCGTCGCAGTCGACAAAGTCAGTGATCACGAAGCGCCGCCACAAAATGCCGGTGGCACGTTGACTTATATTTCTGTCCATCTGTGATTTGTCATGTGTGTGTCAGGAGCAGCGGGAGTACCTGAGATGGCTTGAGGGCTTCGGCAAAGTGCTGGAAGTGTGAATGAATGAATGAATGGATGAATGGGTCAATCAATCGAGACACGGAGGCCAGGAAGGGGAAGAGGGAGAGGGATTTCTATGCCACCTGTCTCCTGCCAAGAGGAGCAGTCGGTCACTCATGCACTGGTGGTGACATACCTGTCATATTTGTATATCGTTAGTTTGATTTCGCCAGGGAGGGAGATAGATCCTTATCGGTCATCGAAAACATCTTTGCTATGTGTTTTCCTTAAGGATTGTGGACTCCTTAGAGGCATCAGATTATGAGCACAAGCATCGACGAGCTCGAGTGTGAGGCAAAACATGCCAAGGCTAGGGCAGCGTGAAACCGGATCGTTTGACGATTGTTCGAACTCCTCGGAGAAGCGTGAGCCGGCTTCTTTCGACATTCACTCTCATCAGTCATCCCACCGCCTGACTATCGCCTCTCCGAGTCACAACAGTGGAAGGGCATCAGCCATGCAGGGTCTCTCTGAGCCACCTGTCACTGCCAAGGAGGCGCCAGACAGCAGCAGCACCCAAGCAGACAAGCCCTGGCAGATCAACGTGGGCGGCTTCACCATGGAGTTCCCTCGTGAAGTGCTGCTGCAAGATGGCCTCAAGGACACACGCCTGGCTGTGTTGTTTCACCGCTTCGATGAGTCGCTGCTCGAGGACACCGACGGCATCCCCTTCATCGACGCAAACCCGCACTACTTCATCTGGTGGGCGGGAAGCAAAGCCCATGTTGTTTGGTTGACATTCATCCGCTGGCCGCGTGTCTGACTCTCTCCATCTGTGTGTGTCAGGTTGGATGTGAAGTTGGGTTTTCTCAAGGCGGGCTGGATCGACGACATCACGGTCTTCGACGACTGCCCCGTCAAGGCCTTCTACCACGACCTGTTCTTCGCCAAGACGACACTCAGTATGACGCCACAGAACGAGCAGGGCAGTGAGGCCTTCCAGAACTTCATGGCGGTGATGGGTGGCTTCATCAAGTCATCGGCGGCCAGAGGGACGGGCGGCTATGAGGTGCTGAGTGCCGTTGTGCATGGCACGACTGTTTCCACGACGGACGCCACTCTGGCGGGACTTGACACCTTCGGCAGACGATTCACCGAGTGAGTTGGGGCAAATGAGGAGGAGGGAAACGGCGCAGTATGGACGTGTGTGTGTGTGTGTGTGTGTGTGCCTGTAGGTTTGCGGCACCCGTCACCGATGACAGTGTGCCGACGACCACCTTCGAGAAGTAAGGCGACACATCACAGGCCGACAGAGGACATCTGCGGTGGCCTGATTTGGTTCTCTCAGAGTCGTGGATTTCGTCCGCCGCCGTCGCCTGGCCCCGGACGCCGTCTTGGCCCTCCCCATCACCGACGACTGGCCGCAGCTGCTGAGTGCCTTTGAGATGTACGACCTGATGGACTGTGTGTAGCTGACCATGATCGGCAAATCGCACACCCACATACGCTGCCTGTTCAGGTGAGCACTCACAGCAGAGAGGCACACAACGGCCAACCTCCCTGCCGTGTGCGTCTCTGTGTGTGTCAGGAGTTCTCAGCATGGCTGGTCGCGTGAGGCTCTGGTCGACCGAGTGGCGGGCGAAGAAGGGGGCCTGCTGTTCGTCATCGAAGCTGAGTGCAAGCGCCGCCACCCATCTCCGTCCTGGAGGCGACTCACCTCCCGAGCAGCCTCTCTGTTGCCAGCTTTGCGCGCTTGGCTGACAGGTTTTCTCTGTCGGGTTTGGGGCGTGCCGCCAGCACCATGTCAGTCATCGAACACGAGTGATGAGAGTGAGCTTCGCCGCCACATCTTCGCCTGCCTCATCGACGGGCCCCTCATCGCGCCAGCCGACCCCACAGCAGCGGTGCTCACCGGCCGCCTCGTCACTTTCTACTCCATCAGTGGGGCGTTCAAGGACCAAGAGGGCATCGTCAACATCGCAGTGCCCCACGACTGGCAGCGTGTGGATGTCGCCGGCACAAATGGAGCGGTCAAGGGCACCAACGGCAGTGGCAATGTGGCCATCGGTCACGGCCGCCTGTGGCTGGGGTGGGGGTGGCCGGATGGTCGTCCTGCCGGCGACCTGCGCAGCTGCCAGCGGGTGAAGAGAGACGAGCTGCCCGCCGGCAAGACCTACCTGGGCAGCTGCGACACCAACGGATGGGCCACTGTGGCGGGCAGCCATTCCTTCACTGCCCAGCGGCTGGAGGTGTATGAGGTCAGTGAGACATCAACGGAGGGGGGCTGAGTTGATGTGTCCATGATGTATCGTTGTTGTCTGTCTGTATGTCTGTCTGTGTGCAGGTGTCGACGACTCCTCCGGCCGAGCCCGTCCTGTCTGCTGTTCAACTGCAGGAGCTCGTCAACATGACGGGCAATGCCAATGCGACGCCGAAGCTGCTGTACAAGTGAGTAACCAGCCCACTGAGAGAAACAGTGGTGATGTCACTGATTCGCTCTCTCTCTCTCTCTCTGTGTGTGTGTGTGTGTGGCTGTGTGTCAGGGGTGCGTGTGACGGTTGGATGTACCCCACCATGCTGGCCAAGGTGGGCACCGCCACCAATCTGCTGCTGGTCCTCAAGGACGCCGGCAACCACATCATCGCCGCCCACCTCAACAGACAGCTCAAGCAGCCGGCTGACGCCACGGCCGTGGAGACGACCAACTGCCCCGTGGCCTTCTACTCGATGTGTGGCGCATTCAGCGAGGCCGACGGCATCACACACATCGCAGTGCCGGACGACCAGCAGTATGTGACGGTCGCCGGCACAGATGGGGCGGTCAAGGACACCAACGGTGTGTCCGTTGGCGGCTATGTGGCCATCGGCGGCGGCCGCCTGTGGCTGGGGTGGGGGTGGCCGGATGGTCGTCCTGCCGGCGACCTGCGCAGCTGCCAGCAGTGGGTGAAGAGAGACGAGCTGCCCGCCGGCAAGACATACAGAGGCAGCTACGACGACATCGACGGATGGGCCACCTTGGCTGCTGCTCAGACCTTCACGTGTGTGGACATGGAAATCTACGCACTGCAGCGGGCGAGGCAGACGGACAGACAGCTGGATGAGACCAATGCAAGACAGGAGAGAGGCTGCGTACACATAAACGGCATTGTGGTCTCCTGTGACCTCCTTGAGTGGCTTTCAGGCGTCGGCCAGCACGTCGACCGGCAGTGGCTGAGTGAGTGATGGTTCTGAGGCCTGGCTACCTGGCTGCCTGCCTGACGGATTGGGGAGGAGCAGGCAGGTCAGTGTAGGTCAGTCAGTGTAGGTCAGTGCCGTATATGGGGCGGTGTGCGTCATGGCTGGTGGAGGGAGAGACAGCGGGGAGGGGAGGAGAGGGTACATCGGCTGTGTGTCTGTGTGTGGGTGTGAGGGTGGCACAGTGCCCCTGGTGTTATCGATTCGCTCTTTTATCCATCCTTGGTGTGTGTGTACAGTCAGTCTGTCTGTCTGTCTGTGTATGTGTCTCTGTTGTGTGAGGTAGTTTTAATCGCAGCTGTACGTGAACATGCTCTTTATCTATCGGCTGAATGGCATGGACTGACTTCTGTGTGCTGAATGGGATGCCTCAATAAATGCTCCATGTGTGACGACATTCGCATCAAGCTGGCCAATTTAGGCAACATTGAGCTAGGGTAGACGGCACAGGGTTGAGATCCACACAAGTGCTTTCGCAACCACATCTATGTCGGCCGTCTGGCGACCGTACATACCATCAATCAGATCAGTGCGGCACTGCCTGACTCATCCAATGAGCAGGCGTGCCACACATACACACACACTATGGATGTGCACTCACGCGGTGTGTGCAGAGGTTTGTGTGTGTGCGTGTGAGTGTGGAGAGCGCGCCGCGGCGTCACGATGAGTGGGTGAGTCCAAATATAGGTCACGGCAAGTCAGTGGTCTCATGGCGTACACACATAAACGGCACGGCACGCAAGTCGTACCTCCATAGAAATCAGAGGGCGACCCCGCGAGCAAATCCATCCATCCATCCATCCATCCAGGTGTGTCCAGCCCCTCGACCGCCCAACATTCCATCTATGCCCAAGTCCGGATGGACAGATCCTGCCCTCCTTGATCGGATCGATGTGCATGCACCCGCCCGCCACATATCACTTACGATGCTCTCCTATTCATCACCACCGACGCCGCCTCATTGGTGGATGATTTGGTTGATGCGCTCAATGAGTATGTCGAGGGGCTGGATGTAGGGCTCTTCGTCGGGGCTGACGAAGGAGAAGCACTCCTTGGCGATGTACAGGTCGTTCAGCTCCTCTCTGCTGGCCGTCCCCGCCCGCCCCTTCTCGATAGCCGCGTCGATGGCCTGCATCATGCCGTTGTGCATCTGCTGCTCCATCCGCAGGCCCTCTCCCGTCAGCAGCTTCTTCCTGCCCTCCTTGGTCGTGAGCATGTTGCCGATCTGCCGCTTCGGCACGGACCACACGCTCACGAAGTTGCCCCAGGGATGCGCCTTCTGTCCCGCCCAGCCCTGGAAGCGACTGGCCAGCCGCTCATAGCCAGCCAAGGCGGCGAACGCCACCCCCACTACCTCCCCGTAGCTGTCGGTGCCTTGGCTGTCGGGCTGGAAGTGCTTGTCTCGGGCGAGAGCGAGGCGGTAGTTGAGGGGCACGTAGCTGTCGGGGGTGCCCACATGGCAGTGCAGCCGCTCCGTCGTAACCTCATGGATGCACTCGTGGTCGACGTGCCGAATGTCGAGGGCCGGCGCGCTCTCAGAGCTGCCCACAGTGCCGGTGACCATGAGGTTGTCTGGGTGCATGTCGCCATGCAGCAACCTCATGCTCCCGCCCTCCCGCCGCCACAAGGTGGGTGCCTTGCATGGCACTGCTGGCTTCTCGAGGAGCCATTCGGCCCGCAGGGATGGCGACAGCGGGGCGGCGGGCACGGCGGTCTCGGTGGACAGGGGTGGGCAGGTGAAGGGCTGCTGCAAGTCCCTCGCCAGAGTGAGAGTCTGGAGCAGCGCCTCATGGGTGGCGCGACGGGTGGTGCCGGCGACTGCGGCCATCAGGGACGGCTTGAGCTTCTGGCCGCCGCCCGGGCCGTAGAGGGGTGGGGGCTCGAGTGGTGTGCTGGTCCCGCGGGCTGCATTGAGCGCCGCTCGCGCCGTGGTGACCTCGCCCAGGCTGGGGGCGTCCTCGCCGTCCAACTCTGTGCGGCTTCCACGTCAAGAAGTTGACAACGGTATCGATCAGGCAGCATCTGAAGGTCAGGAAAGGAAAAGAGTGGGCTGGATCTTTCACAGATGCCCCTTATGGCCTTCCTGCCCATTAGTGTGCCGTGCCCTGCTCACCGATTACTGCTGCCCTTCCCTGGGCACGTGGTGCCCTTCCCTGGGCACATCTGTGTATCTGCCGAAGTCCACAACAGCGCAAGCGGATCCATTCCACGGCTTGACATCTCCCGCCGCCAGCAGCGACCATGAGAGGCCGAGGCTTTTCGGGTGCCGCCTTGGTCTTTGAGCACCATCGACTTCTCGCTCTCGTCCAGAAGCTTGCGTATACGGTGGACCTGCACACACACACAGACACATGAGGCGTCTCTCTTGCGGATCTGTGTGTGTGAGTGTGGCTCACCTCTTGGTCTTTGCGCTGGATGTCATTCTCGCTCTTCGCCAGGAGCTCGCGAACCAGCTGCATACCCACACATCCACACACAGACAAACAAACGTAGAATGAATGCACGTCGATCTGCTCATGTGTCAGTGAGTGAGTGGCGCGTACGTACCTGGATCGCAGGAGCAGGAGATTCGACCGCGCCGCCACCAACGCTCGGCTCGTTGCCGAAGCCACCAACGCTCGGCTCGTTGACCTGCACACACACCCACACACAGACAAACGTAGAATGAATGCACGTCGATCTGCCCATTTTGTGAGTGAGTGGGTGGCGCGTACCATCACTTGAACTTTATCTAGCAGGTTTTGGTTGTCGTCCTAGATGGCCGCTAGCTCCTGCACACACACCACACATGGCATGTGTCTAAGACTAACTACAAGTCGATGAACGATTCCACAGTCGATGATCTTACCTGGTTTAACTCAGAGTTCACCCGGCACAACTTAAGGATCTCCTGAAAGACAGGGCAACAGAGGTTGTTGACAGCCATTAGCCCGCCTTTCCTCTCCCTCCTGCCGCTCGGTGCGCAGCTTCTCCTTGAGAAGTCGAATGATCTCCTGAGAGACGAAGCAAAGATGGGAACATTCGAATGAGTACCCACAAACCGTCAGGGGAGCCCATGATTCGCGCACCTCGGCGGAGCCGGAGGATTCTCGACCTGGCCGCCGTCCACACGAGTAGTAGAGGGCTCGTTGACCTGCACACACATCCACACACAGACAAACGTAGAATGAATGCACGTCGATCTGCTCATGTGTGTGTGAGTTGGTGGATGTGTGTGGAAGAATACCGTCTGCGTCGCTGTCGTCTGACATACAAACCCACACACACAAATGCATAATTGAAGCAGGTTCATACTCCTCTGATGCTTACCTTGACTGCTGGCTTCGTGAGTAGCTGGTTGACCTGGTCGAGTAGGTGGTTGTTGTCGTCCTTTGCGGCCGTCAGCTCCTGCGCGCACACCACACGGCATTCAGATTGGCATGGAGGCGCCGCCAACATCAACGCTTGGAGCCTCGACCTGCACGTCATTGGACTTTCGCTGCATCACAGACACATCCACACATAGATGAATGGGTATGCGTTGTGAGTAAAATGAACAGCGAGCAGCGTCTCGTTGTGGACTATGCGGTGCGTGAGGTCGGCCTGGAGGTAGGGGGAGTTGCCGATCTGCTGGATGGACGTGAAGTAACCTGACGACCGACCAAGACAACATATCCATCCATCCACCTGTGTGTGTGTGTCACCTCACCTGGGAGCAGCAGCATACGTGCAGAGGCAATCCACGACCAAGCCAGCCTCTGTGGACATCGGTGGCCGCCTGCGGGTCCTCAGTGGATCTCTCGTTGGCCGCCGAAGTGGCCAAATAAAAATAAGCGGAGGCAAACAGGGAAGAGAGGAGACATGAGCAAGTGTTCATGAGTCTCCTCCTTTCTCCCTCATTTACGTACCTGCGGCGCCGCCGGGGATATCAATCCGATCCACATATAGCAGCCAATCTTGGATGAAGTAGGAGAGACGGCAATCCACCTGCACACACATACACGAGACACGTACACGCGAGCTGATCAGTATATTTCGACAGCTCACCTTCGATCCGCAGATGGCGGGGCAAGGCGGTGCGATTCAAGGGGTTGTCATCAGGCGATCGAATATAAAATGTAGCCAGCGATCTGCACACCCCTTGGCCTTCCCCTTAACCTTGGGCTTGGTGGCCTAGGTGGCGGGGCCAAGGGGCGTGGCGGGCGCCGCTTCGGGGGCGACTGCCTTGTGCCCATCTGCCTACCATTGTGTGCGCCTTCTTGTGGTGGGTGGGTGGGCCCACACATCAACACATAGCGTTGAAGGAGTGAATGAGTGGACGTGTGTGCCCATCTGTCTACCTTGCGAGGGCGTTTGGGAACTTCTTGGGTGCCTTGATGGGGAGGTTGATGATGCCTTCTGCGGTGACAATCCAGAATGGGTTCTGCACAGACAAACAGACAGCCATGTCGGGCATCTAAGGGTGTGTGCGTCGGTGTGTCTATGTGTGGATGTCCGATCTTTGCGCACCTCATCCTCGGCGGCGTCGGGGTCCTTCATGTTGTCGACGTGGTCCTGGGTGTCCACCTGCACACAGAGGGATAAACGTACGTCGATGTAGCGTGTGTGTGCTTTACCTTGGCCTCGATGCTCTGAAATCATCAGACACATACACACAAACACAGAACCACATACACACAGTGCTGGACAGGCATGCAGGCATCTGTGCTGGCGAGTGTCGCTGTGTGTACCTTGGTGGTCTTGGTGGCGGTTGTCTTGGCCGGCTTGGTCTTGGGCGACGTCTTGGGAAGCTCCATTACCTTCTTGGAGCGCTTCTCCCACATACGACACACCAACGACAGGAACACATACACGACATGTTCATTCGAGCGTCTTCCTCCCTCCCTCCCTCCCTCCCTCCCTCCCCTGCCATCTCTGTCTGTATCTTGAGCTTACTGAGGGTCTCCACAGCGAAGAACGGCCCCGACAGCTTGAGCTCTCTGAGCGTCGACGTCGCTCCTGCGGCCTCCTCCTCGTCACGGCAGCTGGAGGCATTGTCCTTGGGGGGCAGGACAGTGAGGGGGAAGGGTTTGTCGGGACTCACGAACCCCCTGGCCAGCAAAGCGGGACCTCTCAGCTGGCTGCCGAGCCGGTGGAGCAGCTGGCTCTCGTCCTCGATCAGTCGCGTCCACATCAGCAGTTCGTGGCCTCTCAGCGGCTTCTCCCCCCGATGTCGCCTCAGCTCGTCAGGGACGAGGAAGCGCACTATGCAGTCCCTCCCGTCAATCACCCCCCTCAGCTGCACCGACCGGCTGCTGAAGAAGTACCGCCCCGTGAACTGCACGTTTGTGATGGAGAAGTCCCGGCTGCTGAAGAAGTACCGCCCCGTGAACTGCACGTCGTCGATGGGGCGCATGATGGGGCCGGATGCAGCTGTGGCGGAGGGTGCAGTGCAGCTGCCCATGGTGGGCAGTGGTGGCAGCGGCTGGGCCGTGTCGGATACTGGGGAGCCAGGGCCGGTGGCAGTGGTGCCGGGGGATGAGCATGTGGCTGCAGGCGGCACGCTGGCTCGGCACGGCGGCGAAGCAGCAAGTGTCGCTGCGGCGGGTGGGCGGGATGGCGGACCAGGCCGGTAGATGGGCGGCCTCGGTGCTGACGCGCCCTGCCGCGCTGCGGGGAACTGTGGCGCACTGGGTGCGCTCCCGTGCGTCTGGCAGCAGGGCAGGGGGCACTTGAGGGTGGCGTAGAGGCTCTGGAGAGCGCCGTTGATGCTGTGCAGCCATCCCTTCTGTGTGGCGGCCTCGGCGCGGTACAGACCGGCGATATCGGCCGGCATGCTGATGGCCGCTGTCCCTGCGGCTGCTGACTGCGCCATGTGCGCTGGTTGGTGGGCTGCTGCTCCGTCGTCATCGCCTTGTGGGCATGATGGTGGTGCAATGGCATGGAGGGGTGGGAGGGGGGCATAGACGGGTGTTGCTGGTGTTGATGCTGGACAAACATCGCTGTATCTCTCTCCTTCTCATCGCCAGCATCGGCCTTCTTCGCATCTTCCCTGATGCACAAACACAAAATGCGCCGTTTCGCTCCGCAGTTGTGTTCGTTTGTACCCACTTGAGATCTTGCCTCCCCTTCTCCTTTGGTCGTCACGGGCAGGTCCACCACGGACTTGTAGTCCTCCGACAAGGCTCTCTTGGGCTCGACCCTTGCACACACATGCGACTTAGCGAGAGAGACAGAGACAGTGAGCGAATGTGGACGAAGGCCAACACCTAATGAGTGTACATTACCGTATAGCCATTTAGAGTTATATTCGAGGATGTCAAAGTGTTCGGCATGCCCTTGTGCCGCATGGCTATGGCGTCCACCCCTGCGCACCCACACAGCAGGCAGACAGGGCATTCATCCGTACGCGTATGTGTGCCATCCGTGTGTGTGTCATGTGTACCTGCCCCCCCAACTGGTCAGCACGGCGCCCTTGGGGTAGAGTCGGCTGCAGGTGGCGGCCTGGTGCATGGCGATAGTCTCGGGGCTTATGCTGTACCTGGTGGATACACACACAACACAACACATCACCCACATCCATGGACGCTCTTTTTTCGCATCCCTCTCTCCCTTCCTCCCTCCCTCCATGTGCGTCGCCCGCTCACGTCGTCTCGTCGTTCAGTCCGATGGGCATCGCCGCAGCCACCGCTGCCTCGCCTATTGTGGCCCTTTCCCTGCCTCGCCATCGGTGGGTGCTGTCTATCCCTCACAGACGTATACGCATACCCAACTGATGGAGGCGGTTCGTGCAAGAAGAAGGCAGGGCGCCCAGGCCTTGGCCTCATCCCTCGCTGGTGAAGGAGCAAGTGCTGGATGAAATCTGGACGAGTTGGGAGGGGTGGAGCGAGATGGGGCGGACAACAAAAGCCAACGACGGGGCGAAAAGAAAAAGGAATCGAGCATCGGTAACCGAAAGAAGGCTGGAAAGCCGAGCACAGGCGAAATTGGACTTCAAGCAGATAATATAGGCTTGCGATTGTCTCCGTCTCGCGAAAATCTCGCCCCCCTCTTTGAAGCTCGCATTTACAACAGGGCACGGAGGAGGAGAGAGATACAGCGATGTTTGTCCTGCATCAGCACTAGCAACACCCGTTTATGCCCCCCTCCCACCCCTACATGCCTATGCACCACCATTACGCCCACAAGGCGATGACGACGGAGCAGCAGCCCACCAACCAGCGCACATGGCGCAGTCAGCAGCCGCAGGCACAGCGGCCATCAGCATGCCGCCCCGATATCGCCGGCCTGTACCGCGCCAAGGCCGCCACACAAAAGGGATGGCTGGACAGCCTCAACGGCGCTCTCAAGAGCCGCTACGCCACCATCAAGTGCCCCCTGCTGTGCTGCCAGACGCACGGGAGCGCACCCAGTGCGCCACACTTCCCCGCAGCGCCGCAGGGAGCGTCAGCACCGAGGCCACCGATCTGGCGGCCTGGTCCGCCAGATCGGTGGTACTTCAGCAGCCGGGACTTCTCCATCACAGACGTGCAGTTCACGGGGCGGTACTTCTTCAGCAGCCGGTCGGTGCAGCTGAGGGGGGTGATTGACGGGAGGGACTGCATAGTGCGCTTCCTCGTCCCTGACGAGCTGAGGCGACATCGGGGGGAGAAGCCGCTGAGAGGCCATGAGCTGCTGATGTGGACGCGACTGATCGAGGACGAGAGCAAGCTGCTCCACCGGCTCGGCAGCCAGCTGAGAGGTCCCGCTCTGCTGGCCAGGGGGTTCGTGAGTCCCAACGACCCCCTCACCCTCACTGTCCTGCCCCCCAAGGACAAGACCTCCAGCTTCCGTGACGAGGAGGAGGCCGCAGGAGAGACGACGACGCTCAAGCTATCGGGCCCGTACTTCGCTGTGGAGACCCTCAGTAAGCTCAAGATACAGAGATGGGGAGGGAGGGAGGGACGGAAGGAAAAAAGATGCTCGAATGAACACCACGCGTATGTGTTCCTGTCGTTGGTGTGCGTCTCTTCTGTCAGAGTTGGACAGCGAGGACGCCCCCAGCCTGGGCGAGGTCACCGCGGCGCGAGCGGCGCTCAATGCAGCCCGCAACACCAACACACCACTCGAGCCCCCCCTCCTCTACGGTCCGGGCGGCGGCCAGAAGCTCAAGCCGTCCCTGATGGCCGCAGTCGCCGGCACCACCCGTCGCGCCATCCATGAGGCGCTGCTCCACACTCTCACTCTCGCGAGGGACTTGCAGCAGCCCTTCACCTGCCCGCCCCTGTCCACCGAGACCGCCGTGCCCGCCGCCCCGCTGTCGCCATCCCTGCGGGCCGAATGGCTCCTCGAGAAGCCAGCAGTGCCATGCAAGGCACCCACCTTGTGGCGGCGGGAGGGCGGGAGCATGAGGTTGCTGCATGGCGACATGCACCCAGAC